CAAACAAGTCACTAGTACGGCCTCACTGCTTCGATATATCTGACGTAGTTGAGGCATATCGTCTGCGCCCCTTGCTGGCACGTCATTCTGCCACGATGGAACCTGCATGGAAGATTTGCCTGCTCTGCGACTCCAGATACAAGGAGAGGGGTCGCCCGGCCATACGTCACCCTGTGAAATCAGTCATTGAGAGGGACACCGGTCCTCACAGGCAGCAGAACCTTTACGCCGTTAATGCCGGTCAATCGAGGACTATGCCTGAGTTCGAACTTTCGTGAATACTCACCGACGCCGCACAGGCATTTGGATGACTCAAAGAAGATCAGAAGAAGTCAGGGTTATGCCTACGGATGTTTTGATTAACTACTTGCTAATCAAAATGTTCAAACAGATTAGCCTATTAGATGATTAGCTATTGTATTAATTCTTGCAATATGATCTGATTTCAGATAAAATTAAAAGCGTGAGTAAAAAAATACAATTCACTCCAAGGTACAGGACCAACATGATAAACCGATTCGCAGTTTTTCTAATCCACATGTAAACTTATGATTCGCAAATGTAAACTTGATTTGAAAAGTTGTTGACGCGAACACGCTAACAGCGTACGCTGTCATAGCGCATCGCGGGCACACAACTTGTGGATTCCACCACCATCCGAAAGCTACGCGGGCACAGCCCTTCCACTGGGCTAGATATGCTGATGCCATAAAGTGGACCTTGAAGTATATATATATTATAATACATATATATATAGTCTGACTGCGAGAATGATATAGCATTAATGATATTGTTGTATAATATATATATATAATAATATATATATAATGCCGCTCTTAGGTCTACTAGCACATAATTACTTAATTCTTGCATCGCTCAAATACGGCGACGGCACGGTGGGGAAGCGAATGGTGAAGAGACGCCCAGCAGTGCCTGATCTAGACACCGGCCGCATTGTTCTCTCATCGGCGAGAAGACAACTGCACAACTGAGCCGCCTTCTGCTACACGCTGGACATGATCACACAACAACATACGTACACTAACCACTCGTGCAGCATTTTCAGCAAACCTAGCTCGCAGCAGCGTTGACCTCTCAACCACACGGGGGTGCATCACGTAGCTCACCTGCCTACGTCCATTCATTTACGTGCTGACACGGACATTGATTCGTATGCACTAAAAGTATGAGAAAAGATTACAAGAACTAAAACTCTCTTAATTTTCTACCGCTGCCTCAACCATTCGAACGCCCAATCTGAAATAAATGCGGTTCGCAGAGACGCATAACACGAGGCCTCAAACGTTATGGTACGTCAACTTCCAAAGGTCATCGATAATTGGCAGACGTTTAGCCCTTTACTCACAAAGTATTACTTGGACAGGCCACCCGTGACCAACTCAACTATATTCCTACCATACGGGCATACGCACCTCATAGCCAGACGAGGTATTAGATCGTACAGTTCGGAATCGCGCCAACTGCTACCCAAGAGCACGTACTACGATCACTGACGCAGGAAAGAAACGAGCCTACCGGATACACACACCCATCAGTTCTCCGTCATTAAAATCTATTTCCAGAAAAATACATCTCACTATTTACAAAATTAACCGACAAAGTGCAGCTAGCTGTGTGACCGCGCGCCATTTTTTCCGCGAACGAAGCGCGTCTAAGTTAAAAGTGCGTGGCACGTAGCCTGTACCGTAGTATTGGACGCTCGTAGATTTGGACGCTTTTGTAGGCATTGCTTTTTTCGTTTTGCTACCTGTTCCTTTTCTGTTTGAACTTCTGTTCTTGCAACTGGCCGAGGAAATAGTAGCCATGCTTTTTTTTCTTTTTTTTCGCCTTGTAACTTCTGACACACATAACCTATATTGCCACATAACAGTCTTACTAATTTACTAATATTGCAAAAATTTTTTTTATTTCAATCAATTGTTTCGCATCAGGTGGACCGGGAAGTCCGCCATGTTTGTTTATTGCGACCGTTTTCGGATGGGCAGTGCGAGGATGAACTACTGCGCATGCGCTGTGTGCCGCCCTTGCCGCAAAACAAGAGGGGCGCCGGGGTGGGGGCAGCTCTGCGCGCATGCGCACTTGGATCGTTCCAGTTTCGCGGCGAGCGTCAAATACTACGGTTCAGGCCTACGCTTAATATCAACGCGAAACCATCGAAATGTCACGTCTGCTGACGCAAAATGGCGCAGCATGCGATGCATGTAGTCAATAGGACAACAATCTATCGCACGACCCAATCTTCTACACTAAGCGATTTACCTAACTCAAGCTCACCATCATGTATTAGACAGCCCGATTGGTGACTGGAATTACACGTCATGTAATGCCTCCGAGGCAACAAACGGCGCATGCTAAAGCGATGGCCAGCAGACACCGCCACCTGCTCAGTAAAGGCTAGGTGAACATGCGCTCTCGTTTCACTGTCGCTGTGACTACGCGTGACGGCGAGCGGCACTGCTTTACGTGATTCCTTATCTCACTTCTCCCAAGATATTTGGCCTTAGAATCACACGGTCTTAAACAGCAACGCACGAGCTCTCACTCCACAGCGAGTCTCGTGTTTCGCGCTCGTCAGTATTGGCCCCGTCTCCATCTATTCATTTTCTGCACAGAACAGCGCGTTCGGCGTTCGACAACCACGCGACAACACGCAGAATGCACACATCGCACGCACGCACTCGCGCGTACGCCACAACGTGTAACATACGGGCAACGCATACATAAATGTCATTGTAAACACACTCGGCCATCACTATGACGGAAGAAACAGTATGGTACAAACACGGGCTAAACTATATTCGGTACTTGTCTAGCTACGTAGTCGCCTTTCCAGCCATCAGCGTCTTCCCTGGAATTAAAACCGCTCCTCGATACTTAAACACGACGAATCGCCTTCCAACTGAACATCTCGCAATTCTCAGTTGCTCGGCAACTCGGCGCCGCTCTCCTCCTTGCCTTGCTGCCTGCTGCTTGCCCTGCTTGCCTGCTGCTGTCGTTGCCTGCCCTTGCTGCTGCTGCTGCTGCTGCTGTCTCCCTGCTGCTGCTGGCCCTGCTTGTCATGCCTGCCCCTGCTGCTGCTGCCGCATGTTGCTGCCTGCTGCTGCTGCCTTGCTCCTCCTGTGCTGCTGCTGCTGCTGCTGCTGCCCTGCGTTGCTGCTGGCTGCCTGCTGCGCTGCTCCTCCTCCTCTGCTGCTGGCTGCTGCTGCTGCTGCTGCTGCTGCTGCCCTGCTGTTGCTGCTGCTGCATGCTGCCGCTGGTCCTACCTCCTACCTGACTGCTTGCCTGCTGCCCTGCTTGCTGCTGCTGCTGCCTGCTGCTGCTGCTGCTGCTTGCCCTGCTGTTGCTGCTGCTGCCTGCTGCGCTGCTCCTCCTCCTCCTGCTGCTGCCTGCTGCCCCTGCTGTTTGCTGCTTGCTGCTGCTGCCGCTGCTCCTCCTCCCTCCTCTGCTGCTTGCTGCTGCCCTGCTGCTGCCCTGCCGTCCTGCCCTGCTCCCTGTTGCTACTGCTGTTGCTCCTGCCGCTGATTGCTCCCTGTTGCTGCTGGCTTACTCGTGCCCTAACTCCCTGCTTCTACTGCTGCTTGCTCCTGCCCTGTCCCCCGCCCTGCTTACTGCTGCTGCCTCCTGTTGCTGCTGCCTACTGTTGCCTGTCTGCTACTCGTGCCCTACTCCCTGCTTCTACTGCTGCTGCGCGCCGTTGCTTGTGCTGTTGTTGCTGCTGCATGTGCTGCTGCTCCTAGCCCCTTCTGCTGCTGCTGCTGCTGCTGCTGCTCCTGCCCTGCTGCTGCTGTGCTGCTGCTCCTACCGCTGCTTGCTGCTGCTCCTCCTCCCTGTTGCTGCCTGCTGCAACCTCCTACCTGCCCTCGCTGATGCTGCTGTTGTTCGCCTTGCTGCCTGTTGCCAGCTACTGCTGCGCATCCTGCTCCTGCCCTTCTGGTGCTGCTCGCTGGTGCTTACCGCGCGCGACAACACTACACGCATTACGCCGGCCATTCGAGCCGTGATCAATGCATCGGGCAGAGCCGATTAGATTTTGACGGGCGCCTTCCCGTCAGGCGAAGTGAATCTACGCAGTTTATCCTGTTGCTTCAGTTCTACAGTTATACAGCGCAGCATCCCTCCCTGCATCCCTGCGTCCCGCCATGCCTGCATGCGATGGCCCATAGAATAACGATCACGCTCGTTAATTACCATCGCCTGCACCGGGAGCAGCTAACGATCACTGCCTCGTTAATCCATCGCTACACGGTGGAGGAGCTAACGCATCACGCTCGTTAATTACCTCGCTACACGGAGAGAGGTAACGCATCATGACTCCGTTAATACCATCGCCTACACGAGAGAGTACACGATCACGCTCGTTATTACCATTCTGCCTACACGGCAGAAGTAACGATCATGCTCGTTAATACCATCGTAACACGCGAGAGTTAACGATCACGCTCGTTAAATACATCGCTGCACGGTGAGATGAGTAACGCAGCACGCTCGTTTATTACATCGACGACACGGTTTACGGAGAGTAACGATCACGGCTCGTTTTACCATCGCTACACGGGAGAGTAACTATCACGCTCGTTTACCATCGCTACACGGTGTGAGCAGTAAACGATCACTCGCTCGTTAGTACATCGCCCTACACGAGAGGAGTAACATCACGCTCGTTATTACATCGCTTACACGTCAGAGGCAGTAAACGATCACGCTCGTATACCATCGCTAACACGGGCATGAGTAACGATCACGCTCGATTCATTACATTCGCTGCCACGGGGAGAAGTAACGATCACGCTCGTTATTACCATCGCTACACGGTCACGAGAGTAACGAATCACGGCTCAGTTAATACCATCGCTACACGGGAGATTCAACGATCACGCTCGTTCATTACCATCGCTACACGTCGAGACAGAGTAACGCATCACGCTCGCTTAATACCATCGCCTGCACGGGAAGCAAGTGAACGATCACGCTCGTTATTACCATCGCTGTTGTCAGCGTCGGCGCACGGTTTCATAGACTTTACATCACAGGACTGCGATGCTATACTAGTTTCACAAGTTGTGAAGTTAATTCCTGACACAGATATTTGAGAACTGAGTAGGCCGATACCTAAATATAATATATAGCTATTACACTGCCACATAAACATGTATGGCATACCATGGCCATGTTAGAATTCACACAACCACAAACTTTCTCGTTTAGAATAAACCCTACTGCGACCCAAGCCGATGCCAAGCGACTGCCAACTAAACCGATTTAGCATTAACAACACCTGTCCTCCTCTTAATCATCAGTTCTATCACGCGCATCACCTCTTCGACAACAACTTGCCCGCAAACAATAAGCGAGCGAACAACGTTCGATGCAACCTATCAACGTTAACTTCGATACTGTAATGCACGAAAACTAAACACAACGCACCTACTCATGTACGTACAGATATAATACATATAATATATTATAACAGCATAATAATATCAACAGTCTCGTTCAGTTTACGTGCATTTGCTTATATCATCACAAAATTATATCAATACGCCTGTACAGTGCTAATATTTAACAACAATGACTCGGGATTTTTCTTGCTTTTTTTTTTATTTAATCTCCTATTTCTCACATTGCCGCAACAGCAAACACTTGTAGTCAGGCGTGAAAATAGGCATCAACGCAAAATTCTAGAAGCAAATTTCCGTTAATACTCCTTTTATCGGATTTCTCGCTTTCACATGAAATTCCCTCTACAGCGAGGCCTTTTTACTATAAAACGCATCTAACACGCCAACACGTGTAATGATGTTGGACACACTTTGACCTATGCTGCGCTCATGCATACGTTTAAAGTGTGAACGGAGAATCAATACTCAATAGCCTTCTCTGAAACACACACATACACACAAAGAATTTCTCGCATGCGAAACCCCACGAGTTTATGTCGACTGCTCAATAATGTCTTCAGCTATTCTGTACATCACTCGACAGTATACGGTGGAGGCGCCTGCTCAGCAGTTGACTACAGCGATAGACCCTGGCTGCCTGTGTTAACTGATTAACGGCGCGGTCTATATTTACCTGTTGACCACGTCGGGTATTCGACCCACCACCCCTGTTGATTGCTTATAGCGATGTCGTATGCTTATAACGTGACCAGCATGCCTTTCATTCATGCATTACCAGCTAATCACGTGTCCATGACATTCACCATTATATTTTACGCGCTGTAAGCACGCTGTGAATTCATTGCGTGCTAGTATTTTTTTTAACTCGGAAGACCAGGATTACTTTGCTCAATGCACATGAACCTTACTAGCTTTAGACAGTCGACAAGGCTTTTATAGTCCCCGGTATTGCCTGCTAATCACATAACCATGGCTCTTTCACGAGAACGCACAGGCAGAATCTGAGGCACTCACCAAGCACAATCATCTTCTTAATCGCTTTGCGACAAAGGTAAGTAGACACCTAAACCCTTTTAGCTCGTCATGCCGACTTCACGCCGCGCTGGATACGTTCCATCTTGACATTTTCGAGTTTCTCGCATGACGGAATGTGAGAAGTGAAAGATACTCGTGTTGTAATCTATTTCACATTAGCCTCGGTGCTCTGTGTGCACACATTCACACTATACGTGATGTCGCTCGTGGGTGACAAGGTGTCCGTCCATCAGTCTCACTCAGTGATCAGTGCCACACGTGTGACTATCGAGTAATACTTACCGTGGGTCACTCACACGGATGCAGGACACACTGTATACGTTATCATATATGGACTGCCTGCACTTCACTATTACAATCCGTCTGACGTGAATAATTCTAACAGCTGCTCGGTTACCTATTTGGTCCGAATCCAAAATGGAGCATCAAGCAAAACTGCCGATTTGCTCCGATTATCATCTTTAAAGGGCCACAGAGATTTGTTGATGCTGTTCATTCACTAATGGTGTCGATGGGCTGCTTAATTAAACACGACCACAGCGAACGCTAGTGAACAAGATGGAGTAAGCCTGGTTCACACGCTGTGTGATTTACTACACACTTGTGGTGCATTCTAGAACCAGCTAGACACAAGCACCGTCAACAAAAACAATGGCCGCGTCGCCACTACAGACAGACAAAAGGTCAGAAGCGACGTTGTTTGTATATCTCATGCACCCAACGTGCACTGCTGAAGTGGTGCACTGTTTTTAAAGCCTAAGCCGTTCGGATTTGCCTATACTATGGGTCAGGTGAGTGGGGACACCTTATGTGTGCCATCCGTGCACACTGACTATAACGAGCCATAGCCACCTCTTCTTGCATACCTCGCCTTCAAGTTGAAAGAAGTGTTGCCATGGTTACTGCTAAATTGCATGTATGCTGAAAGGTCAATTTACATAAATTCACGAAGCACACGTCGTCGGTGGCTCGCTGCCTTAGTCTTGCTAATTTGTTGCTGCTACTCGCCGTGATTTGTTCGCTGAGTTGCATCTCGGATGCAATTAGTGACGCGCCTTAATTACGCTCAAACTGTGATCCTAACTACCTCCTAACTTGCATACGAAACGGCCCCGCGAAACGCCACGCGACCAAAAATTAGGACAGATTTAGGTACGAGCGCGCTGAAGCGATGCCGCCGTCTTGCAATCACAGCGACGGAAGGACAGGGCTGCGATTGCCGAACACAAGCGGGTTGACAACTCGTTAACTTATCTTTACGACGGAAGGTGATTGACGGGACAGTCGTCGGCAGGGCAGCGTGACGCCGCTGCCGCTTGAAAACATCGCCGTCATCGTCGTTGTCACCCTCGTCACTGTCGTCACCATCGTTGTCATCGTCATTGCAGCCGCCGTTGCCGTCACTGCCGCTGTCATCGCCGTTGTCACCATCGTCACTGTCTTCACCATCATCGTTACCGTCGTCACTGCAGCAGTCGTTGCCGTCACTGCTGCCGTTGTCACCATCATCACCACCATCGTTGCCGCCATCATCGCCGTAGTCACAGTTGTCATCGTCGTTGTCGCCGCAGCTCACTTCGAAGACGACTCCGACTCGGAGTCGGCGCTCTTCTTGAAGACGCCCGTCAGCATGGCCTTGATGCGCTTGCCTCGGTTCTTCTTCTTGTTGCGGCGCTCGAGCGCGAGCACCTCCGCGCGCCGCCGCTTGCGGATCTCGCGCACGAGCGCGTGGAAGACGTCATCGACGAAGTGACGCAGCGCGGCCGACGTCTCGTAGAACGGGCAGTCCCACTGCTGCGCCAGCGCCTTGCCCTCGTCCGCCGCCACCTGCAAGGCAACGTGTCGATATATGACATATGCACAGTGAGGCGACGTGTAGATGTGTGACATACGCACAGTGAGGCGACGAGTAGAGTACAGAGCGTACGCATGGTGCGGTGACGTGTGCAGTGATGTACGACTACAGAGCGTACGCATGGTGCGGTGACGTGTGCAGTGATGTACGACTACAGACGTACGCATGGTGCGGTGACGTGTGGCAGTGATGTACGACTACGAGAGCGTACGGCATGGGTGGCGGTGAATGAGGGGTGCGGTGACATTCAATGATGTCGACTAGACAGAGCGTACACATGATGCGTGATTGTGCAGTGATGTACGACTCAAGAGCGTACGCATGGTGCGAGTGACGTGTTGGCAGTGATGTACGGACTACAAAGCGTACGCATGGTGGCGGTGGAGTGGCCAGTGGATATACGACACAGAGCGTACGCGTATGCGTGAATGTGTGCAGTGAGTACACTACAAGCGTACGCGTAATGGCGGTGACGTGTGGGCAGTGATTGTACGACTAGTGTTGTCAATTCGGTTGTAATTCGTAATCGATCATCGTTGGACCAAGTAAACGATGATACGGTTACAATCGGTTACTCCGGTGTGTGATATGCCTGCCGTGGTGCGTTAACGTCGTGTTCATGTACGCGTGTGCATGTATGTGGCTGTTTAGCGCCTGTTTACTGTTTTGTTTTGCACTGTTTACTAACCTGTGTGTAATAATACATGTATGTAAATAAAGGATAACTTGTAATAGTAGCGATGATATCTCTGATTCTGCAATCACCTTTTCTCAGTTTGTTTCTTTCGAATGAAATCGATTATGGATTTTGAAATAACGCCAAGCGCTTGTTCGATGCTCCAGTGCCTGTTCAATCCGATGATCGAGTATAAATGCGATGATCGTGACATCACTAAAGTACGAACACGAGCGTACGCGTAATGCCGGTGACGTGTGCAGGAGTACACTACAGAGTGTACGCGCTTAGTGCGGTGATGTGTGCAGTGGATGTATCGAACTACACGAGCGTACGCCATTGGGTGCGGTGACGTGTGCATAAATGTATCGACACAGAGCCGTACTGCATGGTGCGGTGGATGTTGTGCAGCTGTATGTACGAGCTTTACAGAGCGTACCGTGGTGCAGGGATGTGGCAATGATGTACGACTAACAGAGCAGTACGCGTAGTGCGTGCATGTGTGCAGTGATGTATGAACTTACAGAGCCGTAACGCATGGTGCGTGATGTGTGCAGTGATTGTACGACTACAGAGCGTACGCAGTAGTGCGGTGATGTGTGCAGTGATGTTAGACTACAGAGCATCAACGCAATGTGCGGTGACGTGTGGCAGTGATGTACGACTACAGAAGCGTACGCGTAGGTGCGGTGATGTGTGGCAGTGATGTAACGACTACAAAGCCTACACGTAGTGGGTGATGTGTGCAGTGATGTACGACTACAGAGCGTTACGCGTGGTGCGGTGACGTGTGCAGTGATGTACGACTACAGAGGCGTACGGCATGGGTGCGGTGATGTGTGCAGTGATAGTATACGACTACAGAAGCGTACGCATGGTGCGGTTGAACGCGTGAGTGATGTAAGCGACTACAGAGTGTACGGCATGTGGGCGGTGACGTGTGCAGTGGATGTACGACTACAGAGCGTACGCGTCAGTGGGTGAATGTGTCAGTGATGTACGACTACAGAGCGACGCGTGGTGCGGTGACGTGTGCAGTGATGTACGACTAACAGAAGCGTACGGTAGTGTGGTTATGTGTGCAGGATGTAGCGATACTGACCAGGAGCGCTACGGCGTGTGGCGGTGGACGTTGTGCAGTGGATGTACGACGACAGAGCGTACGCGTAGTGGCGGTGTGTGTGTCAGTGGTGTAAGACTACAGACGCGTACGCCGTTAGTGTGGTGAATGTGGTGCAGTGATGTTAACGACTACAGAGTGTATCGCATGTGGGTGCGGTGATGTGTGCAGTGATGTATGACTACCAGAGCGATACGCATGGGCGGTGATGTGTGGCAGTGATGTAGCGACTACAGAGCGTAACCTAGTGTGGTGTGTGTATGCAGTGATGTACGACTAACAGAGCGTTACAGCTAGTGTGGTGATGTGTCAGTGATGCTACGACTACAGAGCGTAACGCGTAGTGTTGGTGATGTGTGGCAGTGATGTAACGACTACAGCAGCGAACGCGTGGTGCGGTGACGTGTGTCATGATTACGACTACAGAGCGTAGCGCGTAGTGCGGTGATGTGTGCAGTGATTGTACGACTACAGAGCGTACGGCGTAGTGCGTGACGTGGGCAGTGATGTTACACTACAGAGCCGTGACGCTAGGTGGCGGTGACCGTTGTGCAGCTGATGTAATGAACTACAGACGTACGCATGGTGCGGTGATGTGTGCAGGACTGTACGACTACAGAGCGTAACGCATGGTCGATGATGCGTGCAGTGATTGTACGACTAAGAGCGTAACGCATGGTGGCGTGATGTGTGCAAAGTGGATACGATACAGAAGCGATACGCGTAGTGCGGTGGAATGCGTGCAGTGAATGGTACGACTACAGAGCGTGACGCATGGTTGTCGGTGAACGTGTGGCAGTGATTGGTACGACTACAGAGAGTACTCGTGTGCGGTGATGTGTGCAGGTGATGTACGACTCAGACGTACGCATGGCTGCGGTGATGTGTGGGTGAGCTGCTTTTTTTTTGTTTTCGACTACAGAGCGTACACGCATGTGCGAGGTGACGTGTGCAGTGATGTACGACCTATACAGAGGTACCATGGGTGCCGGTGATGTGTGCAGTGATGTAGACTACAGAGCGACCATGTGCGGTATCGTGATAGTCAGTGATGTAGACGACTAACAGACAGCGTACGCATGGTGGCGGTGAATTGTGCAGGTGATGTACGCACAGAGCGTGACGCATGGTGCGTGTGATAGTGTGCATGAATGTAACGCTACAGAGCCGTACGTGTGTGGCGGTGAACCGTGTGCAGTGATGTAGCCGACTAGACAGAGCCGTACGCATGTGCGGGTGTGACTGTGTGCAGTGATGGTACGCTACAGAGCGTACGCATGGGATGCAGTGATGTGTGCATGATTACGACTACAGAGCGTACGCATGGTGCGGTGATGTGTGCAGTGTATGTACCGACTACTAGAGCGTACGCATGGTGCGGTGATGTGTGCAGTGATGTACGACTACAGAGCGTACGCATGGTGCGGTGATGTGTGCAGTGATGTACGACTACAGAGCGTACGCATGTGCGGTGATGGTGTGCAGTGATGTACGACACTAGAGCGTAACGCATGGTGCGGTGACATGTGCAGTGATGTACGACTATCAGAGCGTACGCATGGTGCGGTGATGCGTGCAGTGAATGTACGACTACAGAGCGTACGCATGGTGCGGTGATGTGTGCAGTGATGTACGACTACAGAGCGTACGCGTAGTGCGGTGATGTGTGGCAGTGATGTACGACTATACAGAGCGTACGCAGGTGCGGTGATGTGTGGGCAGTGATGTACGACTACAGAGCGTACGCATGGTGCGGTGATGTGTGCAGTGATGTATGACTACAGAGCGTACGCATGGTGCGGTGATGTGTGCAGTGATGTACTAACTACAGAGCGTACGCGTAGTGCGGTGACGTGTGCAGTGATGTACGACTACAGAGCGTACGCATGGTGCGGTGATGTGTGCAGTGATGTACGACTACAGAGCGTACGCATGGTGCGGTGATGTGTGAGTGATGTATGACTACAGAGCGTACGCATGGTGCGGTGATGTGTGCAGTGATGTACGACTACAGAGCGTACGCGTAGTGCGGTGATGTGTGCAGTGATGTACGACTACAGAGCGTACGCATGGTGCGGTGATGTGTGCAGTGATGTACGACTACAGAGCGTACGCATGGTGCGGTGATGTGTGCAGTGATGTACGACTACAGAGCGTACGCGTAGTGCGGTGATGTGTGCAGTGATGTACGACTACAGAGGCGTACGCGTATGCGGTGATGTGTGCAGTGATGTACGACTACAGAGCGTACGCGTAGTGCGGTGATTGTGCAGTGATGTACGACTAAGAGCGTACGCATGTGCGGTGATGGTGTGCAGTGATGTACGACTACAGAGCGTACGCGTAGTGCGGTGATGTGTGCAGTGATGTATGACTACAGAGCGTACGCATGGTGCGGTGATGTGTGCAGTGATGTAGCGACTACAGAGGCGTACGCATGGTGCGGTGAATGTGTGCAGTGATGTACGACTACAACGAGCGTACGCGTATGCGGTGATGTGTGCAGTGATGTATGACTACAGAGCGTACGCGTTGCGTGACGTGTGCAGTGATGTACGACTACAGAGCGTACGCATGTGCGGTTGATGTGTGCAGTTATGTATGAACTACAGAGCGTACGCGTAGTGCGGTGACGTGTGCAGTGATGTACGACTACAGAGACATAGCGCATGGTGCGGTGATGTGTGCAGTGATGGTACGACTACAGAGCATACGCGTAGTGCGGTGATGTGTGCATGATGTATGACTACAGCGTAGCGTAGTGGCGGTGACGTGTGCAGTGATGTACGACTACAGAGCGTACGCGTAGTGCGGTGATGTGTGCAGTGATGTACGACTACAGAGCGTACGCGTGGTGCGGTGATGTGTGCAGTGATGTAGGCCGAGAGTGCATACTCGCAAAGTAATATATGCAGTGATATACGTCAGGAGTAGATAATAGGGAAGGAGTGTGACATCAATAAACAAGGAAAATTCGTCATTTCCTAGCTTTAAAATACCTGCGATTTATACGCGTAACTCATCCAACTTGAGCTCAAATCGTACACAGTACATTCGCCTAGCATCGTGCGAAATCGTTTCCTCGTATACACCCGCAATCCGGAGATATAGACTAAAACGTACGACACGATTTTCCATTCTGTAGCCAGCAAAATCTATGCGTTCAGAGACGAATTTGAAACAAAAGGCAGCTACTAACGCGCTATTGCTAACTCGACGGGCAATGTGGCTCGCTGAGAGATTAGGCATCAACGCAACATTCGGCGAGATAACCTTTGACCCGGTACACAGCTACATACCGGCATGCCCCCATACCACGCACGCACGCCAATCCGCTATCATCAGCAGCAGATCGGATTCAAATCTCCCAGCGAGCCACATTGCCCGCCGAGTTAGAAATAGCGCGTTAGTAGCTGCCTTTTGTTTCAAATTCGTCTCTGAACGCATAGATTTTGCTGGCTACAGAATGGAAAATCGTGTCGTACATTTTAGTCTATATCTCCGGATTGCGGGTGTATACGAGGAAACGATTTCGCACTATGCTAGGCGAATGTACTGTGTACGATTTGAGCTCAAGTTGGATGAGTTACGCGTAGTAAATCGCAGGTATTTTAAGACTAGTAAATGACGAATGTCCCTTGTTTATTGATGTCACACTCCTTCCCTATTATCTACTCCTGATATACGTACAGGGTGCAAAATTAACGGGAGTCCAGAGTCAAATACTCCCTGATTTACTGTCGGACTCCCTGATTTGACATATATGCAGGAGTCCGTGTGACTCCTTGAAAATTCTGCCATACTAACTAGTTCATTCTGGAGCACGGCCTCGCGGAATTACTGTATTTTTTCAGCTAATGTCCAAAGAAAATTTGGCAGATGTGCAACTGCATGAATCTTAAAAATAAGCACATCGTTATTGTTAATATCTTTAATTTTGAACCTCAAACTGCGGACTCTCTCATTTTGCTGCAGACTTCTTCTTTTTGAGGGTAGGGAGTCCGTTGGACTCCTTGTTCAAAAGTTAATTTCTACCCCTGTACGTACACGTCGAAATACACAGAGAGAGCCCACCCTTACAATGATATCCAGGTCTCATTCCCATAAGGTGATGCACAGCGTTATGCATACGCAGTAATATGCATACGCAGTAATATGCATACACAGTAATAATATGCACACGCAGTAATATATGCATACACAGTGATATACGAGACCGTATACTGATACGGTGATGTGCACTAAAATTCGTAGGCAGTGATAGTGATACACATTCAGAGAGCGTGCCCATACGATGAAACACAGTGATACACATCGGTAGAGCATACATTATTGATGATACGCATGGATAGACATCGAAAGCAATATTCATACAATATGCAGTGATATATTACAACAGAGCCCACCCATACGATACAACGAAAGCATATCTTGATCAGTTCATCAGCCTCATCTGAAATGCTGCACTCACATAATATAGGGTTTCTTCTACACAGGAGGCACTGCAGCGCACCGCCGTTGTCAAATTTAACAACGCCGTTGTGAAAATGTTCCTTTATTTACCCGCCGTTGTCAAAATAGTGTCAATCCAAAAATAAATAGATCACCACGTGCTTCTGACTATATACATGGAAAATCGTAATGAAATTCACAGCAACGTTCTTTTTGCGTGCCAGCACACTCCCGTGTCATTCCCGATTGCAGCTTTTTCCTCGATTCCGGGAAACTTTTGCTGTCGCTCCCTCATACCAGCGGTGCCCACCCCTACATATACAGCAATAAGCATGACCACGCGACTGTAACAATCAGTGCATTTGCCCCCCCCCCCCGTACTTCAATCAATGCCGCCCCAGCCAGCAAGCACGAGCCACGATGTGCACAGCCACGGACGTGGGTAACAGGGGTGTCGCGGGCTGCTTTTTTTCTTTTTTTCTTTTGCGTGAGAATGCGTAGAGCATGCGGGAGTGCGGGAGAATGGGTCCAGCTGCCAGAACCCCCCTCTAGCTCTCTCCCTCCCCCCACCCCCCGCGCCTGCCTGCAGAATCCACATTCGTGCCTACTGCACGCCTTTGAATCCATCATGTGCGTTTTTTCCCCAAACTGGCCATTACCGCCGTTGTCTAATTTTCCCTCAGAAGAAACCCTGTCATATCCATGATGATATGTAGTGATATGCATTGGCAGGGCTTCCTAGTACAATGATATGCAGTGACTGTTCTAACCGTAGTCCTGAGTTAATGAGCAATGAGAGTGCATACCTGCACGCCATAATTAGAAATGACAGCTAGCATGTGTATAAGAGTGCAGCAGTGAGCAGCAGTGATGGCGCATGCTGCCTATATTACCAGTCAACAATCGCACTACCTTTTAATACATGTATAAACAATACAACATCATCAAGAATTGCAAATCTAACTTGACCATATTCTCTAATATTGAAACCAATATTATTTTTGGAGAAACAACAGTTCCATTCGACTCCTTACGTCAGTAGCGCAGTGCCACCTTGATTAAGGGTCCGATGGCAAGTCAAAAGCAACTTGGCAATTACGTTGCATCTATTATATTCAAGGCACCATTTTGATTGGGAATAAAAGAGACGCGACGAGAGTGTGACGCACTTCCATTACGGACTCATAGCAAGCAAGCAAGCGAGCTATAGTGGTATGCATTGATTTTCCGATCCAGATTCATTATATAACCTACATGAATGCTGGCCATGCTGCACAAACAGCCCTTTTGAGGCACGCCAGATTGACAGCATCGTTTCGCTCAGTAACTAAGATTAACCTCCAAACAGGCAAACCTATCAGCATGGCAGCTGTCCTAACGCAATTACCTGACGCATGTGTTCCTGCAGGTCGTACTTGTTCCCGACTAGGACAACGGGCACGTCCTCTCGATGCTGTACCCTCTGGATCTGCTTCTTGTACTCGATGATCTCGTCGTAGCTGTGTCGATCGGTGATGGAATAGCACAGCACGAAACCCTCGCCACCCCGCATGTACTGGTCTCGCATCGCCGTGAATTCCACCTGCGCACGCATGACACGCAAAAACCGTACACTTCGTTTTTTCCGCGCATGTAAAACGCAACTATCCAGCTTAGCGTGCAACAAGCAATTCGTGAAAAGGAAATAATGATACTATTTATTATACTCATTTTTACTTGGAATTACACGATGTGATAATCCGCATAGATGAACAGAGAAGTATTTAAATATTGCCACAACATATTGCTGCAATGCCCTTTTTCATACGATTTCTAAAGGAAATGTCAACAAGTGCTGTATCAGGGCACAGGGCTGCGTTTTACCTGCCCAGCAGTGTCAAGAATGTCTAGCAGAGCCGGTTCACCATCTATACGTGCTTGCTTCTGATACGCATCCTCTAAGAAAATGTACCATTCAGCCCATTAGGAAAGCCTAGACAAAGTACATTCTCACTCTCTATATTATTTAATCAATACCACCCGACCAACGCTATTTACCTGCATCAACGCATGTGAGGACACACGCGCGCATGCATACACGCACGCACGCACCCACACGTAGTGAGCAGGATCTTACACAATGTATTAGCTTTCTCCTGTCCACAAACACATAAGAAACAAAATGAAAACTCACCTATAGTGGGGTCATGGAAGTCGAGGAAACTGTGACTGACAAACTGCATTGTCAGAGCTGCAAAAATAGTATAAAAAAAATATATATTGTGCAAATCTAAATCATAATTGCTTAATTGGTTATTCCTACTGCAGATATTTATAGATAACTAATATGAAAAGCTGAGAAATCTCTCAAAACCGCATTGTGTAACCACTAGGATGTGCCAGCTTCAATTACTCAACGCAAGATTTCAACTGATAAATTAAAATCCAGTAGTTTTATGGTGTTGAGGGACCAGTACAGTGTGTCCACGTATCTTCTTTCTTTCTATTTAATAGCAAATGCATCTATAAGGATTAATGAAAATGTGCGTGTGGAGAAGGGGGACGAGGTGAATGTAGATGATAAGTTTCTTAATAACACTTTAAAATGCACTGTCTGTTGAGTGTCTGTTAATAAGTTTGCCAAGGCTCATGTCCTCAATATCATTTATCACCTCACATGCACTAGATTGCCAATATAGCATGTAGTACTCAATTTGATGCTACTGTCATTTTGAGTGTTAGTATTAGTGTTATAACACTTGTGATGTGAATCATCAGTGTTAATTATATACAGTTCACAACGACATGTTAGGCCTGATTTCTAACAACTTTCAAAATAAAGGTTAAATTAAAATGCCATTGGTATTTGGAACTAAACCGACCTTACGTTGGTTGTCAGTTTGGTTGTAATGTTGCTTGAATATTGCACATGCATGTTCAATACAGACAATTTTTGATGTGCTTCATGCCATATAACATCTTAAATTTCAATGATTCAATCAATTACATACATCATAGATAGTTAATTATTGAAAGTAGGAATAGATAAACGAAAATGTTCATATAGGATTAATACAAAATTTCAGTTCAATCAGATTCAAACTAGAAAGGGCAGTTGTCGTCAACTACATCAGTACATGTCAGTCTGCACGAAAAACTTCCACCCTCATTGGCCCAGCGGGCCTGTAGAAATAATTCACTGGCCCACACTAGGTTTTACAGGCCCGAATCAATGATTATCATATTATGAAAAGAGAAACCAAACCGGACCGGAAACCGGAAGTTGTTGCGACTTCTAGCGGCAACAAACACGCACGGTGTTGACTAGTTACTTCCCCTACTTAAGATCGGGAATATGATGCCCTATCGGTAAATATCGGTAAATTTTCATACAAAATATCGGGCATTTCGGTAATTCTCAGACTGATCATCACATAAAGAAGCTGAAATATCTAATATACCATTTACTCCATTTTTGCCACTGGCCCATCGGGCTTGTTCATTTACCAGTTTCATTGGCCCACGGAAAATTTACTGGCCTCGGATACCGGGCCAGTGCTAATTTCGCAGAGTGACATGTATCCCCTGTGTTCTCCCAGATGTGTAGTATACGAAGTTTGGTCGACGTAGTCAATTAAGGGCAGAGTTATAGAGCGCGAAAGGAAATATGATGAAGTCAAGGTCAAGCTCATGTCAAATAAAGGTTGCAGTGACCTGGTTTCGGTACGCGACACACCTCTCTCCCCAGATGTGTAAGTATACAAATTTGTCGCGCTAGGTCAATTAGGGGCTGAGTTATAGAGGGAAAGAAAAAATATGATCAAGGTCAATGTAAAGGTCAATAAAGGTCGTAGTGACGCTGGCTTTTGGTAGCGCTAGGTCAATTAGGGCCCAAGTTAGAGAGAGGAAGGGAAATGTGATCAAGGTCAAGGTAAAGGTCAAATAAAGGTAGCAGTGACCTGGTTTTGGTACGCTGCACTTCTCCTCAAGATGTGTAAGTATACCAAGTTTGGTAGCGCTAGGTCAATTAGGGGCCAAGTTAGAGAGCGGAAGGGAAATATGATCAAGGTCAAGGTAAAGGTCAAATAAAGGTCGCTGTGACCTGGTTTTGGTACACTGCTCACCTTCTCCTCAAGATGTGTAAGTATACCAAGTTTGGTAGCGCTAGGTCAATTAGAGGCCGAGTTATAGAGCAGAAGGCAAATATGATCAAGGTCAAGGTAAAGGTCAAATAAAGGTCGCAGTGACCTGGTTTTGGTACGCTGTGCACCTTCTCCCCAAGATGTGTAAGTATACCAAGTTTGGTAGCGCTAGGTCAATTAGGGGCCAAGTTATAGAGCGGAAGGGAAATATGATCAAGGTCAAGGTAAAGGTCAAATAAAGGTTGCAGTGACCTGGTTTTGGTACGCTGCCCACCTTCTCCCCAAGATGTGTAAGTAGACCAAGTTGGGTCACGCTAGGTCAATTAGGGGCAATTAGTCATTTTAGGAGGAAGGGTGTCTCAGCTGTCTGCACAAGATTTTTTTCAGTTTTTGAGGGCAGTCATATTGTTAAAAACCCTTCATAGCTGTGTGCGGTGCAAGTCAAACTTGCATGCAAATATTGGCATCTGGAGAACTCGATTCTGGATTAGGCATTTGGTGGATACTGGGTTCAAAAATATATTAGTAAAACATATAATGAAGTAAAACAAAACAAAAGCGTACATGCACAAGTCGGATGTGATTTTTTCCCGTACTACCACAAAAGTTAACACTCTGGTACAGTCTGCACTTCAGACGGTACGTGCAGGTACGTGCGAGTTAAATGCATATTTAGCATTCTTGTGATACTCCAGTCAGGTGTGCACACATGAAAGTTTGATCACAGTATAAATTAAACTTGTTGCAAGCCAGTTTCATTATGATGTTCAAACTTTCATGTGTGCACACATGACTGGAGTATCACAGAAATGCTCAAAACTGGCTTGCAACAAGTTTTCCTCATTTCATTTGGACAAGAACTGGTATAAGGTCTGTAAACATTGGTTTTTGTCCTTAAATGAAATTGCATAATTTCTTAACATTCCCTAAAAAATTATATACGTGGGAGAATACGCCGCACCACCACACATAAAAATTTATGTTAATCTTAAATGTAGGAGTACATGTTTCATGTATAGAAGGGGTAACATGCAGTCTTCACACCATGTCATATGTTATCAGTTCTTGACAAGATATCACACACACGCAAACGCGCGCACGCACACACGCACACACATACACACAATTTAGGGGTCAAGCCTACTCTAGCATCACCCAGCCAGTGCATAGCCTTAGGTTATGGTTCAGGGGTAGAGCTTTGTAAAGACACATGACAACTATGCATGTACAGAGGTCCTGATGTAGGTTGAAACAAACATTGTAAGCTAGGTTCACAGAGTTTATATATGTAACACCATGAGCTAATCTGACTCAATCTGTTCACAAGAAAGATGTAATATTGCGAACATGGTTGTGGTATAGTAATAGTATTAGTACTTTTGTTGACTTGTTTCAGTTTGGTTCGCATCAGCAAAATATCTGCGTGCACAGCACCTGCTTATAGGCCCAAGGATAGAGAACATGGGTCCCAATAAAACCAATGTGCCTAACCCTATTAAACCCTAATCCTAATCCTAACCATAACCCTAACCTATTAATATTATATTGATATAATATTATATTTATATTATATTGATGTAAATCACATTGGTTTTATTGGGACCCATGTTCTCTATCCTTGAACCAGCAGAACTGTGACGTGTAATAATAATAACTATAATAATAATAATTATAATAATAATATTAATATAATATAATAATAATAACAATAATAAACAGCAACATTCAACAACAACAACACCGTCTGCTACTTGTGTCAGTGGTATTAGTTACGAAACGATGAAGATGAACGTGACAAGTTTATGTAGAGTTTGGTGCTTACCGCTTTTCCCTACGCCTCCTTCCCCGAGTATGACTATCTTATAAATATGTGACTGAGAGTTTAAAGCTCGTGCAGACGGCGACAGCGGCGGTCCGCCAGGTCCGGGCGACTGGGGAGGGGAGAGGCAGCCGTCGTCCTCGGAATCAGCCGCACTCATCTTTTGTCTCGCTTCGACACAATACAATGTAAAGACATCGAAGGTGCGACTTGGTAGGGAAGAATGTCACGACATGCGGCAGGTCATTCGGTATATGCTGACATAATCACACCTCATAAACATCAATCCACACAAGGACTCTTCCACTACATCAAACAAACAGCGATTCTTTGCGCACTGCGCATGATACTCGCTGATCCGTTCAATCTAAAACCACCCGCCGCCACCATATATATACTGACGCTACAAATGCCTCTCCGCATTGATCGCCAGCGCTCTCGCATCTAAATAAAAATTCGACCCCCCTGAAAATATTATGAGAACATGATTTGGGAAAAAATCTAAGGGATTTGACAGCTTTGAAAACCAATATATTAAAAAAAAATAACAGCAGAAATGGCGGAGCACAATATTATTTGTACATCTCAAAAATCGGAAATCGGAACAAGCTAGATTAATATTGTTACACATCCATTATATAATAAAGCCAGCTGCTAAATCGCACTAAAACAATGGCATAGTGCTGCCAATGCTAAATTATTTAGACAGTTTAGCGTTTCTTCCTCACTCAGTAGAATCTATAGCAATGCCACCAACTTCATCTCGTCTTATAATAATGAGAGGTGGAGTTTTTTACAACTTTAGGTATGATAATAAACATAAGTAATAACTGTGCATTGTGATGTAGGGCCATTTTTTTATTCATTTTTAAGGATTTTGCAGTTGAAATCAGTGGTGACTACGAAATTTCCGGGCTCACAATCAATCTGAATCTGTTTGTGGTGGCTAAAAAATTCTTGGGCCCACAATCTGTTTGAGGTGGCTAAGGGATTTTTTAACCCACTCTTTTTGTGGTGGTCAAGATTTTTTCCCCCACAATCTGTTTAAGATAGCTGAGAAATTTATGAGCCCACAATCTGTGTTGGTTAAAAAATATCCCATAATCTATTTGTGGTGGCTAAGAAATTCTTTTTGGGTCCACAACCTGTTTGTAGTTCCACTGTCGACAGAAAAATAGGCACAGGTGCTTTTTTAGCACTGCGATTAGCATTCATAATAATGAAGACACACAATAAGACGGATGAATGTGATCTGTCATATTCAGAACACAGAACTAAAAATTCTATCTATCTGTATAGATCTATTATGCGGCTTAGGACCAGGGGTGCTACTTCTGACCTCGGTGACTTTCACTATTGTGATTGGCTGACTCTATAATTTGCCTATTTTTGTCAAATTATGAATTGAAAATTCACTAATCTTTAAAAAAATAGGCATGATATGTTTGTTGTATTTTTATTGTGAATGAAGACTGTATATATATATACACATAACTTATAATATGATACACCATATGTTCACGGGGTTTAATTACAAATTTATACTATGTAAACATAATTATAAAAAGTACAACTGTTGTCATTTCTATATAAAGTAAAATGAAAACATTGGAATTTATACAGAGATGTTGGACAGGTAAAAGACATTGCCTTATCACAAACATTCTCAACACAAACCCATCGTATTTTTGTAGGCTGAAAGTAGTATTGAATGAGTAGAGGTAGATGAGAAATGGCAGAGGGGTGCAGCAGGTGTGGAGAAAGAAAAACAGGTGCACATGGTGACAAGGGAAAATGAGAAGCAGAGGTAGTGTGGTGAGTAAAATACTGTTGTATAAAATAGGAAGAGAGAAATAGAATGGATAATGGATGGGTAGAATTAAGAGTGGTGGCACTCACATGCCAAAATTTAACAAAATCGAATGAATTTAGATGGGCATTTTCACTTTTGCCAAAAAAGTGGGCGTGGCATGAAAGTAGGTCGACTGGCGTGCTCCAAAATAGGACGTTCAAATCTCTCCCATAGGCTAGTAACAACTGTATGCAATTTGAAACATGTGGGTCAAACGGTTCTTGAGTTATTGTTGACCATAGGCAGACACTGAGATGCATATAGTGAAATTGCCAAAATCTACCGAATTTGCATAATTTAAAAAAAATATCAAAACCCATGTGATATGTTTTGGGGCCCAGTCCTTATTCATACACATACTAGAAATGAGCAAAATCCGTTGAACCTGAACTGACTTATGGCCATTTCCATTTTTGCCAAAAGGTGGACGTGGCTCGAAAGTAGGTCGACTAGCGTGCTACAAAATAGGACATTCAAACCTCTCCCATAGGAGTAACAACTGCATGCAATTTGAAACATGTGGGTCAAACGGTTCTTGAGTTATCGTTGACCGTAGGCAGACACTGAAATGCATAGTGAAATTGCCAAAATCTATCTAATTTGCATAATTTAAGAAAAAAATCAAAACCTGTGTGATATATTTTGGGGGCAGTCCTCATTCATTCACATACCAGAAATGAGCAAAATCCACTGAACCTGAACTGACATATGGCCATTTCCATTTTTGCCAAAAAGTGGACATGGCTCGAATGTAGGTCGACTGGCGTGCTCCAAAATAGGACGTTCAAACCTCTCCCATAGGAGTAACAACTATATGCAATTTGAAACATGTGGGTCAAACGGTTCTTGAGTTATCGTTGACCGTAGCCAAATGTTGACGGACGGACGGACGGACGGACGTGCGACACCCCATGGCAATAGCTCATCTTGACGATGTCAAGGCGAGCTAAAAATGAGGGGTGGAAGAGAAGGTGGGAAGTAGTGGAAGAACATGAGGTGTAAGATGATGAAACATGGATAAGAAGAATGTAGATAAATGAAGGAAGAGTATGATTTTGTTTCACCAATTACCAAGACTTACAATTCTCACCAACGTTTAAATTAATGTCTATATAGTTCTTTTCCACATTCTACATCTCCATCTCCTCTCATCCTATTTCCTACCCCACTCAATTTCTTCTCCTAGTTAATTGCCTCTTCCCTGTGTCATCCTACTCCTCTTTCTCCACAAATACCTCATTTCCCACAATTTCCTCTACATTAGCATCTTTCCACCTGTTCTTCGTTTCAACCTATCCAAACCATTGAAATGGCTCTTTATAGTAATTTAAACTGTTGTACGGATTCAATGATTCACGTTGTATCAATAACTTTCACATGCCTATCATACATTGGAGCAATTCAACAAAATGCGTTTTTACACCACCTCGGATATCAGCAAATATTCACTTTCCACTTTGGCACTGATATTTATAATACAGTAGACAATATTATAAAGGAAATTGAGGGCAAATGGAAGTTGAGAAACATATTTCTGTTATAATAACATCGTCAGTTCTTTTGTGGCAACTTGGTGCCTTACTAAACATCAAATAAAAAATATTCTTTATGTGACAGTGATTGCTGATTATATACACAAATCTATCAGCACCTACTCTATCACATTGGTTTCAACGGAAGCGATGGTGTTCCAGTACCCACACGTGACATCCCGTACGAGAAGTTCATGCTCCGTGAAATAGTTGACTCGTCTAGGCTCATGCTGGGTGATCGTGTCTGCATGACCAAGTTGTCCGTAGTCATTCCAGCCCCAAGTATAGAGTTCTCCTTTATCTGTACATTAGGCAACACATTGTTATTGTTGATATTTATGTTTATAATTAGGTAGATGCAGTGTCAGATATAACTTGATCACAGAGATCACAATGTGCTGCTAATAAAGGTTTTGTATATTTAGAGCTACAATATTTCTAGGAAATTGATAATTGCAGCTGTCTCCCATCACAACAATGTCAAAGGTAGGCGATACATTCCTTCTTGTTTTTAGAAATAACTTAGTTAACATAGTACCTTGATATTTACTCCGTTGCACCAATAAAGATGTGTAAAGGTGATAGGGATAATTTTACCTACTTCCATGTCATTTTCTAAGTGCCTTTCTTGGTTTAATAAATGAAAGTGTCAATGACACTGTAGCTCACCACAAAAAGGACACAAATGAGTGAGTGAGAAGAAGTCAGTTTTAATTGAGCAACCATCGACGTACATTATAGAAACGAAAAGTATATATGGGAGAATACTCCATTATATACTCTTGATAATTATATGTGTAATTTTTTATGTGAAAATAAATGTTTGAGATGTGAAAGTCTGAGATGTGGGCGAGTGATGGTGTTACACCTAAATGATCGCCACTTAACATTTTTATAATATTCAGATTTAGGCACTGCCTAAAAGCGGAGCTCCCGAGGTGTAACGTGTAAGATTGAGAGGATACGCTTATTCCACGTAGCTGCTATATACCACATGAAAATGGTGTTTCCCTGACCATAACACAACTTTTGTCAAAGGTTAATTGGTTGCATGGAAGACAAGTGTTTACTTCGTATGAGTTTTTCTAGGCGGTAGCACACGGTTGCCATCTGTATATCGCAATAATAATTTATAAACCAAAATGAATCACAATTTGTGGCGGTAGATGGCGCTATACCCGCTTTGATGTTTCTTAGCGATGGCGTTCGAAATAAATAGGTTATGCTGCGTTCCGACATGTTTTGTAAAACTTTACTCTAATATAGACATTTTATCGGCAGGGTGGAGAGCAAATACTAATTTTGCATTAAAGATATTGTCATGAAATCTTGTAAAACGACCCAGACGAGTGTGACACCACAGACTGTTATCTGCGTGTCTATATAATATGCTATATAATTGCCAAAACCTACCTAATTTGCATAATATTTTTTTTAAATATCAAAACCCCTAGCCCTTATTCATTCACATACCAAAAATGAGCAAAATCTGTTGAACCTGAACTGACTAATGGCAATTCCCATTTTTGCCAAAAAATTGCTGTGGCTCGAAAGTACGTCGACTGGTGTGCTCCAAAATAGGACGTTCAAACCTCTCCCATAGCAGTAACAACTATACCCAATTTCAAACATGTGGGTCAAACAGTTCCCGAGTTATCGTTGACCGTAGCCAAATGTTGACGGAAGGACGGACGGAAGGACGGACGGACGGACGACGACCCATGGCAATAGCTCATCTTGACGATGTCAAGGTGAGCTAAAAACTCAACCACCAGACCTAATTTGCTGATGCCACACACCTTGCACATAGTAACAACACACCTGTTACTAGGGCGGAGTGCCGAGATCCACAGCTAATTGTTGTCACCAGTATTTCATCAGATCCGGGAAAGTCCAAGAGTGTAGGCACACACTGGAAGACTATCGCTGTCTGTTTCAACTGCAATTGCTTCATGTCACACCTGGCAAAGTCAGCGGTCGGCGAAACCACATCTATACTGTCCATGCTGACTAGCTCTGATGCGTCTTCTGTAACTTCATCATTGGTTGTTTGTGGCACACTCACTTTAATGCCCTGACTCAGAACGGCTTCCTCATTATTCAATAAGGCATCCATGCGATGAGGTTGTCCTGGAGGAAAGGACTCTTCTACCAAACTGTCAGAGCCATTATAGTCTTTAGTGGAATCCAGCGCAGCGGAGCATTCTGTCTGAGATGGTGTTACCTCCTTATTCGCACTGATCCTATTCAGAGAGGGGAGGCCTAGCTGTCCACTCTCATTCCAGCCCCAGGTATAAACATCACCTATGTCTGCAATAGTCCATTACGCAGCAATCCACATTATATAAATATGAAGCATCCAGTGGGTGCTAACTGTTATTGATGCTGTTACATTCATGTATGTATGAAGATTGCAATAATTTGTTCAATTATTGTAATATTATAAAAAGGGGAGAAAATACAATGGGTGGATACAAAGTTGAATATGGATAGCTATGGATGCTACAACTGTCACTATTCTAGAATTATGTAGCAATAAAGATTGACTATGCAACTGTTATTTTTCTAATAGGCATTTGCTAAACAAGATTATAAAAGCCATGAAAAATTGACAATGTCAATCTACAAATAACAACATCATAGCTCGAAGTATTTAGCTCTCTTAAAGCCGCACTATGCGCATCCAAACGCTTATTTCTCCAGTACTAGACGAGCAAATACTTTGTGTCATGCATAATCCCACTACCTTATGACAAAATAAACTCTAGTGCCTCCCATTTCACTGCGCATTGTCTTATAAAAGGCATTTGAAAATACCTCCAATGTTGTTCAAATTCTCCAATGTTGTTGACACTTTCGCGTTGCTCTGCCAAGCAACCGCACAGCGGTGCTGCGGTACAGCGGTACGGGTGTAGCGAAGATAAAAACATGTGACGTCACCTAACCGATTCTTGGCGAAATTGTTTGGCAAACAATTTAGCGTTGGCGCCAGATTACCAGATTTCGCACCTTGTTCTTGTGGGTTTTAAGCAAACGCGCAGTGAAATGGGAGGAACTAGAGTTTATTTTGCCATAAGGTAGTGTGATTATGCATGACACGAAGTATTTGCTAGTCTAGTACTGGAGAAATTAGAATTTGGATGCGCATAGTGTGGCTTTAAGAGATCCATATTTAGGTATTTCAAACCACATTTATTAACACCTACCACTAAGTGCCAAAGAATGCCACCCACCAGCTGCAACTGCTATTATCTTGAGGCCGTCCAGAGCATCTACCAACTTGGGTTGCACTTCTTGGTCTGTTGAGTCATGTCCCAACTGCCCTCGACTGTTAAACATATTAAGTAAACGATTTAAAATTGCATAAGAAATAATCTTCTGTTTTTTACAAAATTTCAAACTGCTCACAGCAATTATAGAATAGCCGAATACATTTCTACGCATAACTCCACTAGAGGAATCATTAAGATGCTTCAATACTCTGGACGTACGATTAAGGGTGCACTGGAACCACCTGGTGTAGTTGAGATCATAACCAGAACCATGCAGCCTTTTTCAATTTTTTAAATCTAACTACCTCGCTGAAATTTGAGCAAAAAGCTGATAATAGACACCTCAGTCTTGGCTCCACATTGTACCACAACTCACTAATCAGAATGAAATTGGATGTGTACAATAATCACAGCATTCACTCAGATTACAAATTCTACATTTTAAGCCCCATTTTGTATGCAAATAATTCCAAACAAATTCGATGGCAACTTGAGATTCTGGTGCACCCCAAATAAGAATTGACTGAAAATAAGCAAACACTAAAGACAATACACCAAGGAATTTATTTACAGGAACCTCAAAACACTATGCCTGCCAACCTTCCAAGTCCAAAACTATAAACCAGTCCAGTGTCTGTAAGCACCAGAGTGTGCTCCTTTCCACATGACACCTGACATGCCTGTGCTGACAGTGGGACAACTCGGTACGCAAGCACCCTCTCCTCCACCTCAGCAATGCCTATCTGTCCATCTGTGGGTAAATTATAATAAACTAGGTGAAATATTTTAAACAAGGAAGAAAAAGCAGAAACATAAAACCACTTGCATGGCAAAATTATATCATTTTTGCCAAGAATAAACATAGTTCAATTAATCTAGGGTTATTAGTATTATTATTAACAACTAGGGTTATTATTAGCAACTATATGGATGCTGCTGTCACCTAGTGTTTAAAAACTAAACGAAAATGAGAAATAATTCCTCCCAATGTAAGTAATCTAGTTTCATGAATTTGTACCTGCACCTAGTAGAACAAAGTGATGTTCACCTCCCACTAGGCTCCTCACTTCTGTTACCTTGTATTCAGCATTAGAGTTACTATCCTGAAATGCAATAGAAAAGTTATGACTTGCGAGAACTAATGTCATCGTTTGGAGTTCATGACTATACATAATTGTATCCCCCGAACGAAGTTCGTGGGGATACTATGGGTTTGGCATCATCACCGTCGGCGGCCGCCTGCCGCCGCCGCCGACATAAGAGAATTTGGACCTCTCCCGCCCGGTGAACGCTCTGACGCGTCGTGCAGTTCTATCGGCGCTTCTCTGATCATCATTCAAATTGCGAATGAAGGTTGCTGCTTATCGCTGAAAGCCGATAGGACACCCTATGCTTTTTCGGTTTGGACCGCGTGAGTCATTCAGTTGCCAATGCCGTAACCAAACATTTTTTGTCGAATATGTTCTATAACTGCTAACTTTCCTGGTGCCACTCTTTTAGTTGTCACCCCGCCTTTTGTTCATAGAAATGTATATTGTATTAAACCATTCTATAATTTAAATTTACTAATTAAAATTACAAATTTTAAATTTTAAAATAAAATTTAAATGTAAAATAAGAAGAAATAAAAAATTTAATATTTCGTATTATAGAATTCTAGTATTTATATTATGGATTGTCCATCAGGATCATGTTTT